GTGATATTGGTGCAGAATTAATAAACTACTCTTGAAAAAACAAAATACTAGATAATGGCCATCTGCCAGTCACTGGATGAAAAGATACCTTTTTGCTCTCTTTGGAAGCTGGAACAGAATTAAAGATGTTTTACTGAACAAGACTACAGGAAAGGCCATTCCAGACAGTGAGTCCTTACTCTGGTAGATGTGGAAATCAAAAGACATATGAGGAAGCTACAAATCTATCTGCCTGTATATATGGTGGTCATTACTCAGCTGTGCAGTCAGAGTATGGGGTTAATTAGTGCTGAAGTTGAGAATGGAGGGATAACTGCAGGGAGCAGTTATGGCATGTAGCTTCCTAGCCTTATGTGGCAGTTATTTGTTGTTAATTCTCAGAGAATCCAGTGACTGGGCACAAACTAACTAGACAAGATCAAATTGCAATTCAAGATGTTCGGTGCCATTTTTTACACTTTTTCTCATATCTTATTTTAATATTCTAAATAAACACGGGCAGAGAAAATGAGATAAACATATTTTCTGTCATTGCAAACTTCCCCTAAAATTATCTGTGGCGTCTCAAAAGTGTGAATGAGCTTTGATCTTAACTCTGTGCTTCAGTACAAGTCTTCACAAAAACATCCAGACGGCATACATGCTACTAATTTCTTCTGAACACAGGGAAACAAGTTGAAATAAAACATGATGCAGAATGTAGAAAAACAGCCCAGGAGGAAATGTGGGCATACTGGAAGATTATGTTGGACATATTTTTATCATAGTTGAACATCTAGTTCTCAAAAAAAAAAACCCAAAACAAAACCCAAAAACCTCAAAACTCAAAAACAACAAAAAACCCCCAACTTTTAGTGCATATTTTCCTTAAATTTGTCTTTTAAAAGCTGTTTAGATTCAATTACTTCTGGTTCAGATAAAAGGAACTGGCAAAAACAACATACATAAAAGAATACAGGGTACTCCCTTTTCAGTTTTAATAAACTCACTGGCAGCTTCAATGAAGAAAAATTATTCTAAGCACAAGTTATAGCTCATATCTGACACCAGGTAAAAAAAGAACTACAACACACACTAAAACATTCTCCTTGGTCAAAGTATAAGGAAATGAGGGCTTTTCCCTTCTCTACCCATCGCTCTATAAGCGAAGTTTATACCTAAACAATACAAGGAAGGGTGCATTAGAGGTAACATGGGTAACTCAAAAACATGTAGGGGAGGATTCCACACTGGAAGTGCATAGTAAAGCAGGATGTGACTGAACAGAGCCAGACTTGCCTGCACAGGGATAAAAACAAGTATTTGGATGATGGTAGTGCAGCTTTTGTATTATTGAACATACCTATCATTTAGGAAAAAAAATATCCCTTCCATGTTGGAGGAATCTGTTCTTCCTAGGGAATTCAGCTGACTCTACTTCAGTGTCTTCCTTGAATCTTGTTAGGGCAGGTTTTTCTCTTACTATCTTTTGCAGCAAGCATGGGACTTTATGCTGTGGAGGGGGTAGATTCATCCTTTGAAGACTCCTTTTTTGTTATTTTTGGACTTGAGGGGGTTTCTTTGAAGGCTGGTGCTAATATGCCTGTGAGTGCACACCCTGTAGGCTGCATTGATCTGAGCCAGCCTTGCCTGGGCTCTATGAATGTCAATAACTTAAGAATGAAGAAATTATTTCAACCCTCAGATACCTTCACAAAAGTGAAGGAACTGCAGAGGTGCTACAGGGAGGATTTGGGGCAAACCAGGTAGTATTCATACATCCTCTGCCTTGTGATTTGTGGGGGAGATCTTTTGTGCAGATGACAAAGTGACTGAAGAGAAGCAAGAGAGATGAGTAAGAAAGGAATATGCCTGGCATCAGAGAATCTAATTCTCCACAGCTGGGCACATTGGTGCATGCCCATCTCACGTCAAAATCCCTGTGTGTCCTTAATCCATGAGATGAGTACATCAGACAGCTAAGAGACCACCAGGAGGCATTCATCTGAGAAAAACATACCTTCCCATGGGGAATTTCACATGCTGCCTGTGGGAGAATACTGGCATGCAGCTGTGTCCCTGGGCAATCCAGAAATGTTGATCTTGGCCACTCTTGCTGGCTTACTTCCCACCTTGGCTTGAGGTTTGGATTGCTTAACTATCCCCATGCTACCACACGCCTGCAGCAGGATGGGGGACATTGCAGGTCAGGAAACGTGGTGCGTGGGCATGTAGGGATTATGTGTAGGAGCATTATGGGTCTCAAAAGCAACATGTTTTCTACCCTTACAGGACTGTGGCGACTCTCAGGTCTAGTGGTCCATGATGAGACAGCAAAAAGGCACCAAAATCCCTTCTCTTTCCCTTTTATTGTACATCCACCCTATATGCAGCCCAAATACCAGGTGCAGCAGGAAGCACTGTGCCCTAGCTGCAGAATTATTTCCTTCTGTCATTAAAAGAAATTTTAATGCACAGCAAGCTCCATTGAAGTGCAAGTGAAGGGCCCATTTCATAAAAGATTTAGGCACTGTCTCGGTGTATACTTTTGATTTGTACAGCAGGGAGCTTGTACTTGGGAAGAAAAAGGGAGGGGGGAGGAATTTGCTTTAAATTACAGCTTTTTTTCCTATTCATTTTGCATTCAAAAGCCCAAATATATTTTCTCTTTCTCTTCCCTTGATTTATGACCTTATAAAAATGAGATAAAATCAGCCCAGAAAGAAACAAAGGTTAGGTCTTCCCAGAGCCTGAAGCCTTTGTGTAAGTCCCTGAAGAACAGCTGTGCAAATTACATTTGCTGCTATCAGATAAAGTGGAGACAGAGAGCAGTTTTTCTAACAGGATCTGGACAAGATTCCATTTTATTTTGTCGTTTTGAATGCAGGTTTGATTTTGTTTGCTGGTAATCACAGCCTTTAATGTTACCTTGCCAAAAATGGCTATTGCAGGAGAGCTCGCATCAATGTGATATCAGCACAGGCAGAAAGAGAAACATCCTGTTTATGTGAATGTCCCTAACAAAAGAAGTCAAGATCTAAACAGATAGAAGAGAATGCCAGTAACCATGAAGCAAACTACATGCCAGATGTTAGTCACGCTGCTTAGAGCACTAGGAGAAGTTGATCAGCTATTATGTTGATGAGTGCAGCTTATGAACATGTAGAGAAGGGAAGTGATAGTTGTCATTTGCATGATTAAAGTCTTGTGTAGTACTTCTACATTAAATGATAAATAATTTCATTTTACCTGAGTGTATTAATTAAAAGGTTACATATTAAGGCATTCACTTTCCTTTCTTTACAAGTTCATATAAAGCATTCAAAAGTAGAAATTAATTTTATTTTACAGACTAAGAAAGCCACAGAATCACAAATCAAATTAGGTTGAAAAGGGTTTCTGGTCCTAGCCCCTGCTCAGAATGTGGCCGATTCAAAGTCACAAGTTGCTCAGAGCCTTCAGTTAAATTTGAGTATCTCTATGGAAACTAGGTCTTTTTTTTCATTTCTTAACTGTGTTCACAGTGGAATTTTTTACATCCATCCAACCAAGTAGAAATTCCCTTGCTGAAACTTGTCTGTCCCTTTTCTGTGCATCTCTAAAAGAACTCATCTTTGCTGAAGTCCTCAAAGGCCCTGTTAGGTTGCTGTGAGGCTCACTGTGAATCCATCTCTCTTCCAGGCTGGACAGGCTCAGCTCTCACAGGCTCACTTAGCTGGCAGGGACTCCAGCCCCAGTCATCTTTGCAGCCCTCTGCTGAGTTCACACCGTGTTTTGGATCTCACTTCTCTTCTGGAAGATGTCAAACGGGACACGATGGCTTCACTAGCACCACGGAGGGAAGCTGTGGCTTTCACATGCTGACTCTGTTGGTTTGACCTGTGTGTTGTCTGAGGGTGCACTCCATCCCTCTGGCCAGGTGGCTGAGGAAGATGTTTAGCAGTGGTATTATCATTCACAACTGCTGCTACTTGTACTGACTGCTATGTTGTCTTTTGAACCCAATGGTCCATCTTCTTATCCATCTAGTATTGGTAATTTCTGAGCCATGATTGAATTCTGCTGCTGCTTCTCTCTCCTGTGATGGAGGTAACTTGGAGAAGAATATTCAGGACTTGCAGAATGTAACAAGTCATCCAAATAAAATCAGAATCTGATTATTCAGACTGCTTTCCGTTTTGAGACTTTTTTGAGAAAGTAGCTGTGTTTCTCAAAGACTAATAGGAGTTTATTTGTCTTATTTAAATCTCCTTTGGGTTTCCAGAAGTCTTTGAGAAAAGAGAGTGTGGGAAAGACTAAGATTGAATGTGAAGGGACTGAAGCCAAGACCAGCAAAATATGGATTTGTACAGGAATAAGACCTGTATATACACAAAAATATTGGTAGCTAGCAGATACTACAAGCATTTCTGCTACTCTGTGTAGTTTCACTGTTTGACTAGGGAAGGAGATATTTCCCTGCAGCAGTACATCCTTCTTTCAAATAAAAAATTTTCACAGGAGCCTTTGAATTTTGATAGAACTTGAGCAGATTGAAAAGGAATACCTGGCTGTGCTTGGTTTATTGATATTAGGTAGATTTTTTCAGTAGTATCAAATAACCTGCTTCACTATATTAGTAAGTACTCATTGTTTTGGATTTTATTAAAGGATACAAGGAACAGTAGCAGCATTATTATATCATTTTATGTTACATATCTGCTTGATAATCAGGTTGTGTAGTCGAAATGAAATTATTTCATACTGAACCCCAAATTCACAAAACAGTGTCTCACGGGATCTTTTCAAATGTCAGTTCTCTGTTTTGGGTAGCTTTTTTATTTTCTAAAATTTCTGAGAGTTGTGGTGGACTATGTACTTCCACGATTCTCAATTCATGATGTGGTCAGATTTCACTATCTTGACCAGCCAAAGGTGGTGGAAACATCTTATGCCTTATTGCTCAAAGCAGCATTTGGTGGTACTTCTTGATCCCTGTTGTTTTCTCTACTGTAATCTGATGGTAATGAGCAGTTCTTCTGGCTCTTTCTTGCCTGGCAGGTAACAGTGAGAGCTTCCAAGTTACACCAAGGCCACAGTTAAGTCTTTCCTAAGATATGGTGCAGATTTTAAACATAGGGAGCTAGAGGGGCATGCAAAAAAAAAAAAAAAATAAAGGAAAGTAAGGGTAAATAAAAATTAGCAATTTATCACACCCTCCAGGTGCATATGTTGTGTGACTACATCTGTGCATTATCATTGTGTTCTTACATATTTTTCTCAGAAGCATCAGCCTCAAGAGCAAAGGTAAGGTGACATTGTAGCATGACATGCTTTTCTAAAACCCTATCAAAGGGTGTTTAGATTTTAACTCTTCTCCCCTCATCTTCTCTTGAATATGAAATGGTTTGTAGCTGGGCTGTTTAAAAGTTCATAAGGAGAATCTGATTCGTGTTGGTGATTCATTTGTAAAGCTTCAGGTGAGGGGAAACAAAAACCTGCAAAGAATTTCCAACAGAAAATATTATGTGGAGGAAAACTATTTCCTGTATGGACTAAAGCCTTCTGCATGGGCGAGTGTCAAAACTGCAGCAGTCACACTACACTGACTCCCACACTGGCATTTTGCTACTGCCTCTATATGCACTAGAGCAGGCAAAGACAGAACACTGTGAACTGGGTTTTTGAAAGCCAGGATGTAGAATTCAATCTTTCAGAAAGCAAAACATCGTCAACAAAAGATAGTGATTGTGCTTTGAAGCCACCTGGGAGCAGAGGGAGAACACATGCTCAAGCATTCAGAAAGCTGAGGCAGCCTCACATTGTTCTGCTCCCGATTTTGCCAGTGAAACTGAAACAGTTGTGTTGTTGAACAGAGAAAAAGCAAGTTGCCTACCTGTGCTGACCGTGAAGGCTGCTCTCCTCCTGAGATAATTCTGTTTAGTCAATTGTTTCTTCTCCTGCGCCTTATGCTGGGATAAAACAGGAGAATGATGAGGATGGGACATAAGGGGACACAGCCACTGCCAGCAGTGTGGAAATCTCAGTGGCTTTTGAACACCTCCAGGCCCCCTGACCACACCAGCACAAGCCAGGGCTGTGCTGCTGTGCCAGCAGCATTGCATTCTGAACAGCAGCTCCTAGAGCTGCCCCAAAGCCACACTCCACTGGATATGCTGGAAAACAGCTATGAAGGAGAACACAAAATGAGCTTAATGACTAAAGAAATATCCACTGAAGTCAGTGTGAATGTGAGGCAAATCTTTTGCAATGCTAAGTTTTGCCATGGGACAGTAGACAAGAAATGAAAAGTTGCTTTCTACAATTCCTAGATGCTTCTCTACACTTTTTCAGAAATAAAAGAGAAACTGATAAAAGTGAATGAAACCACTTGAAGCCTTTGCCCTGCAGCACAGGTTGGCAGAGAAATAGGGAAGAATGTTGTGATGCTTCCAGATTTTCCAGGAAACTAGCAATGCTCAGGAAATTGGAGAAGCTGGAGTCCCTCGCATGGATGCATGCCAGAGACAAAAGCATTGTTATAACAGCTGCAATTTGTTTCTACAGGCCCCATTGAGCAGGGCATTAATATATACTTAAGCCTATCCCAAGCCAGCAAGGAGCAGAAGCGTGGGCTGAAGTTCCAGTTGTGCTACTGATTGCATGTGGCAGTAGTGTGATTCCCACTACCTCCACAACAGTTTTGCTCTGCTTCAACTTCCTTGCTATATCAAAAGTAATTATGTTGAGGTGACCAACCTGAACTGGAATGTGGTTTTAGGTTATCTTAGACTAATGAAGGCAAAGATAGATATTTACACTGTCTGATTCTACACAAGTTTTTAGGTGCCCTGAGCCATGTGCTAGTATCCATGTCTTTGCCTTTGGGCATACAGGGAAATTGGGCTCTCAGGCTCATGAGTTCTAAATCACACTTTAATTAGATGACTAAAACGCCTGTTATAGATATCTTTCTAAAAAGCAAAATTTTAACTGTGAGCATAATTAAGTGTTGAAATCAATTTCACAAATAATTTCAGTTTGTCATCACTTGCAGTCTTTCAGCTGAGCATGAGTGCTCATAAACATACATTTCCATTGCTTATGTAGGATTCTTATAGGGCACATTCTGGCACTCTGCTGCATAAATTGACTCAGGTCCATGGTGTGCTGCACTGTGTATTCCTCCTGAGGGAAGAACTGTGTACATCAGGGTAGCTTCTTTTGTTAGCAAAATGTGGCAGGTGTGTGAGAGCCTGCTTTTCCAAGAAGGTGCCTGGCAGTGTTTTACAGTAATTGCAGTTTCCTGTGAACATACACGGCATGCTATAGTCAGTTGATGGATGATCAAAGCATTACTTACTAAAACCAGATTATAATCTACCAGAGACAAGTTTCCTAGCCAGCCAGGGATGACTGCTAGATGATGCTATGCAATGTCTGGAAAGGTGATACACATGATTTTCCGAGTAACAATTTGGAATATGAGTCTTGGTTTTCCAACTACTGTACGTTGTGATTGCTTGTAGACACTGAAAAAGAGCTGTGCGATATTTTCTGATAAAGCTGCAGTTTTCTCTCATTATTTTTGAGTGCCTTGCTGGAGAAAAAGCTCAGACCATTTCAGATTATTACCCTGGACCTTTGCCTTTTAACTCAGGAAAAGGAACTATGCCTCTGAGACAGCAGCAAATGCTTTAGGTAGTTCCAGGAGTGTGAGAAAGGATGTTTACTGTGTAGCTACTGACTAGATGAGATTCTGCTTCCACTGAAATGGTTTCTCATCCAAGTCCTGGATCTGAAAATACCCATTAAGCTTCATTTATACAAGGCTACACTTAATCCTGGGTTATTGTTTAGGAAGAATGGAGAAGAGTTAACTATAGTCAATAGCAGATTCTTACCCAGGGCACTTTGCATGCCAAATAGTATCTTTAAAGAAGAGAGCCTTCTTCTGTGGGTTTCATGTCAGCTGTTTCTGTCCAGTGGCACCAGCTTACCCTGATGCAGGAAAAGTAACTGTTGTGGTCAAGTTCTTGATTCATGTCCTCTCCTCAGTATGTGAAACTTTTGCAGGTTGAAGGTAATAGGCACTGGAAGACTTGATGGAACGCTGGGTGTAGGGTGTCCTTTTATGCTGCTTTGCATTTCTGACACTCTTTTGATTACAAGATCCATCTGTACAGAACTGATTAAATCATCTGTGAATCATAGGAAGGCTTGGGGTGAGTTTGGCAGTATCAGTGGAGAGATGTGGGCAGGAAGGTTTTATGGGAGTATGGGACAACCTCAGCTTTTATTTTCTGCCACTTGGAACTTTGGTTTCATGCCTCTGGCAGGGGAACTTGTAAAGTGGCAGAAAGCAAGAGGTATATGCAAATGGTAGGAAGACAGAGCCATATGGTAGTCAGTGAGCTGATTGTCAGTGCTGTCAGTGCTAATGCCCCATAAGCCCCTCATGTTTTCCTCTGGGGAAGAAGACATTTGCATTTTAGCAGACCTTGGTAGCTGTTGATGTCTTTTTGGCCAAGCCAGAGCCTCTGCACTTATGGCTGGTGTCCTAATGAAATGATGGTTGTGATGCTCATAATCTTGAGAGTAGAGCTGGCAAGCAGCACTTGGCTAGCTACTTGACCAGAGATTATCTGTGACAGTTCTAAAGAAGAAAAAGGGAAGAATTTGGCAGTTTTAGTCTGGCAGTCTCACCACAGTGTTGTTGAAACTAGGTGAACACTGATTTATTTCACTACCTTCAGTGTACCAGTGAGTTCTTCTGTGAATGCTAGAGACTGTGGCAGAATGCAAATGTGGTTTTACTCCCCAATCCTTTACTGCTCCTCTCTCTGTTGTGCCTACTAAGTGGAAAACACAGTGAGGCTGAATGGTCGTGTCCTCAGACTAAGTGCTGTGTATTCATCTGTAGCAGCACAGCCTCCAGAGAACAGGTTGAACAACAATTGGTGTGGTTTTGTTTGCCTTACCTTGCAGTTACTGTTTTCTCTATACCTTGGGTTGGACAAAGGTTTCAGACATGGAATCTGCCTTGGAGATCCTAACAAAAAGTTTTAAATCAATTTATAGTTTTCTTGTGATGTAACCAAAGATAAATCCTGTTTTTTTAATTAAGGCATGTAGTTGATAACCAAGACAATGAATATGTAGGGCATGCATGTTAGACATTTACCTGAGAGATTTGTTACCTTTGGATGAAAGATAATGTAAATGTTCTCGCATGACTTAGTTACATTTTTTTCCCATTTTACAGAAACGTGAATGAAAACCCAGTGCTAGGTGTCTGCACAGCACAGCTGCCTCGGTTTGAGTTGTTTGCCTTAATTCACTTTATAGTCAGTGGAATTAAAAACATCATTTTTAAGACCAGCCTTATTCAAAACACAGTGGCTGAATTGAAACCCACAAAGTCTTCTTTTTCTCCATTGACACGAAAGGGGGCCTAGTTTAGTGGTTCTTGTGTAGATAGGCTACAGATGGCTAGGACCCAAAGGTGAAGAATCAGAGCAAGGAACTGATTATTCTCCATTTTGAAATGCATTTAATGGGTTGTTAATGAGATCCAATGAGCTTCGAAGTTCTAAAACAGATTAAGTTCTCAACCATTCCTCAAGTTGGCTCAGCTTTTTTAGTGGGGCTCACAGACAAACTATCTGGTTTTACATGACCCAATTAGTTTTAATAACTTCCCATTCAGACAGCATTCTCACTTGCCAAAATAGAATTTTTCATGAATTACTAAATTAATAATCAGTTCTTACTGTCAGCTTCAGTGAAAGCTGATAGGAAGATGTTCTTGGCTTGTAATACAAGCCTAATACAAGCTTATTCACTAAGTTCTATCCTATTTTTATCAGCCTTCTCCAGCCACCTATATTCTTCTTTTCCCAGGTGCCTTTTATTAGCTCGTTGAAAATCTGTGGGAAGTGAGACACTTTAACCTTTGAAAGATTCACAACATGTATTTACTCTTTCCTCTCCTAACAAGTCAGAAGAACCAAACGTTATTAGAGATTGAGTCACCACACACCAGTAAAAGTAGTTTACCAGTCCATTCGTTTATTATTGCCAGAAAGCTACCTAGGTCCTAATTAAACTGCAGGTCTGTCTCCCTGAGACAAATACAGTTTGGCAAGAATTGGGAAAGAGAAACTCAAATACGTAATTCAGTATTTTTCTCTGTAGTGTCTGTTAGGGTTTTGTTTTAGAATTGTTGCTGAGGACAATGTGTAGAAATTTAGTATGTAGCTGTAAACATCTGACTCTCTTGGGGCAGTCTCATATATAAGGTTGCAGCAATGATGTATGTCCTAATTATTATCCTATAAGTTTGACTGTTAACTGTGATGTGAGGTGCTGGACTGGCTTCCAAACTCTATTCTTCAAAAACTGTGCTGTAAATGAATGAAAATTCTGGAAGAAAAGGGAAAAAATGCTATTGTCTAACCACAACAGTCCAGGCAGGCTGCCATAACAGCATTTTTTAAGCTCTAATTCAATAATTAGATCCAGCTACAAACGTATTCGTTTAGCCAAGTCCTCTAGTTGGCAAAATGTCTCAAATTTCCTTTGATAAATGTTGTTGTTTGCTTACCAATTGCTTGTCTGTAAATTACTGTGTTCAATAGCAACTTATTAATTGGATTGATTTGGTTTGGTATTTTGCTAGAAACAGCTTATCTTCATATGAATGCATAATTTTATTTCATTACAGTTACAGATATAACACTTACTATGGTAGTGTATCTAATTTTCAGAAAATACTGTAAATGTATTGCAGGCCAAGTACAAAAAAGGCATTTTTCCAGGGTTTCAGTGAGAGGGAACAGTTTTTTCCTGTGGGAAAGAAAGATCCATGTACAATACCATGTGCTTACTATGACTCTCTTCCAGCAGGTTTTACGTAGCTGCTGATGCAGCTTGTTGGGAGACTGTAAGAGTCTTGTTTTACAGTTCTGGCTGCTCTAGGTAATCTAAAGACATTTCAGGCAGATAAATGCATGCAGACCCCAGAGCCAGTACTGCTTGCAGGCAGAAGCACACCTCTGTAGCTGAGGTTCCAGTAAAACCCACCTCTCCACAAGCCGACATCCAAATTCTTCCGTGGGTGGTCTCAACTGGATATATGTTGATGTCTTAGGACAAACTGGTTTACTATCCTAATTTCTTAAACTCCCTGACTCCTGTTGTCTTTCAGAAGTCTCCAGAGGTGTTTGTAAACACTTAGAGGAGACTGAAGGGGGGCGGAATTATGATGGGCAGGACAAAGACAAATTCTCCTTTTCTTCAGGTATGCTGGATAGCACAGGGAGAGCTGTTTTGGCCAGCCACCTCTCCTTCCCTAACCATGCCCTTGCTGTCTGCTACTTCCTTGAATGTCAAGATTGCTTTGATCATGTTTTCTCACATGATGCTGTTTCCCACACGTTTGAACAGATGTCCCACAGGAAAACTGAATAGTCAGGGATCCCAGGAGTACTGCTGGAGTGAGATTTGAGGGCTCATCAAGCCATAGCTCTGGACACAGAGTTGAAAATGCGCTTGTGTGGATCCATTCAAATCCATTTTCTATTCCCTAGGCACATGGTCACTGCCTTCCTGCACTGGCAGAAGTGGAAGGCAGTATCTCCCCTGCACTTTTGCTTATGCCAGCAGACCTGCTGGAATGAGCCTTCCCTCCTTTACCACCACCCAAATGGAAAGGACAAAGCCACCTGGATTTTTCCACAGCCTCATTACCTCTGCTAGTGCTGGTATGGCAGTACTTCACTACCTTTAATGTTATTCTTAACAGCACCTAAATAAAGAGAAACCTATCTGAAACTAAGCAAACCTACACCATCCCTTGTACAGTGCAGACTGTCTTCTGAACCCCCAATCAAACATGATTTTCTTTTCCAGTCATCTGTCTCCCTGTTTCTGTTCAACAGCTGCAGTCCTCTTATTCAGCAGGAAAGATCAGGCACAGTTAAAATAAAACAAACCTCAGAACAAATACAAACAAATCAAATTAAAGAAAATGTTTTAGAGCATTTCAATACTCACATGACGTTGTGAGATGGTTTCATGTCTAAAACGGTAATATTATTTCTGGCAATCTATCTCATTCTATTCTTTTGTTGATTTTTCCAACCTCTCAGGGACTTGGAATGAAAATATTTTACTGATGTTACTATCCCTGGGAAAAGCTTGTCTACGTAGATCCAGGTTTGTGCTGAAAACTTGAAATATTTGGCATGTGGTTTTGTATTTTTCCTTCATCAAAGAGATTATATGGGGCTAAGGTCTGTTCATATGGAGGCAGCAAGAGACACTGACACTGTAACTAAAACAAAAGGCGACCTTTCATATCTGTGTACACATATATGCAAATATCTCTTTTTGCAAATGATAATATAATCATATAAGAAAGTAATTACATTACAGTAGCTCCCTATATGAAAGCTGAATAGACACTCTAGGGATATATAAGCTATAGAAACATCTCTCTCTCTCATTTTTGCAGTGTCTCTCTGAGCCGTGGGATCAATGAAACCTGATTTTGTATGGATTTGTGTCTTGAGGTTGAGACCCTATCTGGACTTTGAGGTCTCAGATGAAGTGCTGCACTTTTTACCTCAGTGAAGCATTAACCACAGTTCTTTACTGGCTGCCTAGTTTCAGAATACTTTTGAGGACTTAATAGTTTTTGGATTTCAATGACTCTCAAATGTGCTTGATGAGCTTAAGCATTTGAAGACTCACAGAGAGCTCAGATGCTCAGAGGCAGCACAGTATTTTAAACACAGTTTCTACAAAATGAAGCTAAAGCATCCTCACTCACATATGGAGAAGACGCATAAAATACGAATTAAAACAGAAAACATGAATTTAAACATAAACAGAGAATTTAACAGCTAAGGAAGAAGAGATACGTTTGCAGACTCATCATTAATCACACAGGGGAACTCTCCCATTGCCTGTGAGAATTTAGCACCTAATTGCAATTTGTCTCTTAAAATTTCCTACACAACCTCTTCTGTAAATGTATGTAAAGCTCATCACATCTCACGTTAAAAACAAATAAACAAGCATGTATATATATCTATGTGTCTGGGGGGTAAAGTAACTTGAATTTCAGATGT